TCTCTGTCTCTCTCTCTGTCTCTCTCTCTCTCTCTCTCTCTCTCTCTGTGTCTCTGTCTCTGTCTCTGTCTCTCTCTCTCTCTCTCTCTGTGTGTGTGTGTGTGTGTGTGGTCTATCCATGCTGGGCTGACCACAAGGGGATGAATAGGTGACCCCATAGAGGCAGGTGCCAGAGGAAGTCCCCAATCCCAGACTGGGAGTCCCAGTCCCTGATCCAATTACATAGAAAGGCCTATATGGAATGTCTGGACCCCCAACACCTCCTAGGCCCCACATCAGACCATGAATCAGGTCCTGGAGTTTCTTTGTGGAATTGACAAAGGAACCCCCGGCTTGGCGAGAGCTGACTTAGAATCAGGGACTAGGAACCCTACCCTCAGAGAGCTGCATATTATTAGTCACCTGGGTGGCTAAAGTTAAGCTGTCAGTGGAGTCCCTGTGGCTGACCTTCCAGGTTGGGGATCACAGCTGCTTCTTTGGGAGAGACCTATCCTCTATTTGTATCCCAGGGTAAGGCTAACAAGGCAAGGGTGAGGCCATAGCTGCCTCATCCTCCACAGAGAGCCTGGCTAGCAGGACTGGCCTGTGTGTGTGTCAGGGCTATCCAAAGCTTCTATTAAGAGAGACATATCCTGCCCCATCAAGAGGAGACTGGATGGTTAAAGTGCTGAGAAAAAATGACAGTTGAATTTCCTACATAGGATACCTATATCAAGGGTCAGGGAACATCACAAAGGCAGAAAAAAACGAAGAGCTGAGTGTGGGATGGGGCACTGTGGAATGCTGTCTCCTGGTATGACATTGATGTTGGACTCTCTCCTAAACTCATAGCACCTATGATTACCTGTATAAGACTGGGATTGAGGGAAGGCCCTAAATCCCTGAAAGGTATCCCCCACCTCTGTGTGTGTGTGTGTGTGTGTGTGTGTGTGTGTATACACATGCACACTCACATGAGTGTAAGGCCTGTCAACATTCTGTCACACAAAAGAGAGAGGGTTCACAAGGCCCCACCTCTCCCTTAGAATCTACATGTAGTTAATGGATGTTGGGGAAAAGAGAGACATTATCTTCAGTGGCCTTGCCACTTGTAAGTTACCTATGCTCCTGCAAACGGCCCTTCACCCAGGTTTCCATTGTTTCAATTTTGCACGTATGAGTGTTTTTCTGCATGAACACTGTGTTGCAGTGCTTGCAGAAGCCAGAAAGGGCGCTGAATCCTCTGGGAACTGGAAGAGTGTGAGGTGAGAACTAGGTGCTGTGAAGGAGCAGCCAGTGCTCTTAATGGCCGAACGATCTCCTCAGCCTCCTCACCATGCCTCTGTAAGCAACACAAATGAAACTCATCCGGTTACACACATAAAATAGGCTTAGGAGTAAAGGGGACCAGTTGGAAAGAGGGAAGGTAACAGCGGGGAAGGACAGAGAAGAGGGTAAATATGACATTATCAAAATGAAACACATTATTATACATAATTCTCTTGGAGTAACACACATTTTTGAGTTATTTATTTATGTATATGAGCACTCTATTTGCACATATACCTGCATGAATAGAAGAGAACATCAGACAGAAGAGGCATCAGATCCCATTACAGATGGCTGTGAGCCACCATGTAGTTGCTGGGAATTGAACTCAAGACTCCTAGATGAGCAGCCAGTGCTCTTAACCGCAGAGCCATCTCTCCAGCAGTTTTAAAATTACATTTCTTGAGAGAGAGAAATAAATGGCACAGAGTGTGCTTGGGAGTCAGAGGACAACTTGCTGGCATCAGTTCTCCACTTCTGCTGTGTAGATTCTGGGGATTGAATGTAGGTCATCAGGCATGGCAGCGAGCACTTTTACCTACTCAGCAGCCGTCCTGAGATCATTTCTGTTCCCAAGACAGCCCCAGGATAGAACCACATATACACTGGAGCCACTCCCCATAGAAATCCTGACTCCTTACCCTGCTCTGCCCCTACCCTGCCCAGACAGCTGTCGTGGTCTCTGAGGAGGCAGACTGCTTTGCTTGAATTCGGTCTTCCTCCTGTCCATAAATTAGCTAAGGATCTGGGAAGACTGGCATAAGCTTCATGGCCAGGGATGCCTGAGTCCAAGGATGGAAAGGGGATCTGGCTCAGTGTCTCTGCTGGCTCTGAATTCTCTCAGCCCCCAAGTCACCCAGTCCCTGAGCCCCACCCATTCAGCAAAGGGCCTGCTGCACATCCTTCTAAGCCTGGTCTCTGTGGTTCCCTCCTAGTTCTAGGAGCCCAGCCGAGGTGATAAAGGTCCAAGGTCAATGTGGTAGTTTTATACTTCTGTAGGGGCAGAGACCTCCCTGCTACCAACACTGGATCCTTGAATCACTTCCTCCCTTAGCCCTTCTACGGAAGCCTGAGGAGTCCAGGTGACCTGGGGTTGGGAGCTGGAGCCTTAGGGCAGGGTGCACAAAGCAGGCCTGCCCCTTCTATGGCTGCAGGACTCTGCCCTAGTTCTGAAGCTCCTATGCCCTGATGAAAGAGAAAGGGGTCCTCTGCCTTCCAAGTGCTGCCTGGTCCTCGCTGCTCCCCGCTCCTTTCTTTTCTCTTCTTCTTTCCTTCCTTCCTTTCTCTCTCTCTCTCTCTCTCTCTTTTTCTTTTTGTTGTTGTTGGTTTCTCTGTGTAGCCTTAGCCATCCTGGAACACACTCTGTAGATCAGGCTGGCCTCGAACTCACAGAGATCCACCTGCTTCTGCCTCCCAAGTGCTGGAATTAAAGGCACTCATACCCATCTACCCCTCACTTTCCTCTCTTTTGTGAAGATCCCTTGGTAAGCAGCCCATGATCTTTCACTGGCTAAGTTGTGTTGGCAGAAACAGAGAACTTTCACCTTAGTAGGGCTGACTCTGTTCAAAGCCGCATTAAGGTCCCTCTTAGATTGGCAGGGAGGAGCTGGCCCTCCTGTGAGCAATGCAGGAGCATGGGACTTAAGGACTTAAGTGAGTCTATAATGTTCCCTAAGCCCACCCTCTGCAGGCCTTCCTGGGCCAGCAGCAACTTCCTGCTGGATCAAAAATCTAGACAAAGCCAGTAGCCTGCTGATGCACCAGCTTTCTCCTTAAAAGGGTAAGGACAAGGGACAGAAGGGGCTATGCACAAAAGCAAGAAGCTGATATACATTTTCTGAGTGTAACCAGATTTTGTCAGATGCTTACAGGTCACAGGGTCACGGCAGGGGCAGGGCTGAGGATGAACCCTGGTGGCACTTTGCAGCCTTCTCTTTCTTGAAAAGCCAGAATGACTCCGGCACTTGGCATGAGCTGAGTGACCAATTTCAAAGTTCCTGCTAAGACAAAACCTGTCTCACATCAATACTCCCTGACCCCCATGGGTTTTGGGACCTTCTGGGTATGCATCTATTAGCCCCTTCCAGTTCTTTAACAGCCAAGGCACATGGCTAGGAATCTACCAGCCCTAGTGGATGAAGTGGCAGCAGAGGTGAGGATTTTGGAGCCAGAGGGTAATGTGTCCTGAAAAGGGACATGACTCTAATGCTACGCCCATGCCCCACCAAATGTTGGCATGGATCCATTGACTCTGCTCCAAGCTGGAGTTGGAGTAGGATGTGAAAGCAGAGCTCAGTGCTCACCTCTCACACCTGTGACCTTGTTCTTTGGGCATTTGGATGGGGACAATGTGTAGCACTGAGGCTCCTATAGGAGATAGCTCTGGGTGACCCTAAACCAGTATCCTACCTCAAACAGTCCTTTTTTCTTTTTCTTTGGTTTTTTGAGACAGGGTTTCTCTGTATAGCCCTGGCTACCCTGGAACTCACTCTGTAGACCAGGCTGGCCTTGAACTCAGAAATCCACCTGCCTCTGCCTCCCAAGTGCTGGGATTAAAGGCATGCACCACCACTGCCCGGCTACCTCAAACAGTCCTTTAAGAGAATGATTGAGCTGGGTGGTGGTGCACAACTTTAATCCCAGCACTTGGGAGGCAGAGGCAGGTAGAATTCTGAGCTCAAGCCCAGTCTGGTCTACAGAGTGAGTTCCAGGACAGCTGAGGGCACACAGAGAAACCATTCTACAAAAACAAAAACAAAAATGGGAAGAGAAGGAGAGAAGAGGAAGAGGGAGAGGAGGGAGAGGAGGGAGAGGAGGGAGAGGAGGGAGAGGAGGGAGAAGAGGGGGAGGGGGAGGAGGAAGAAGACGAGAAGGAGGAGGGAGGAGGAGGAGGAGAAGGAGGAGGAGGAGGAGGGTGATCATGCTGTATTGGACAGGGCTCCAGGACACCTTCTTCTGGGGACATACACATGGCACAGACCCACTAGCTCCTGATGAGACAAAAACAAACAAACATGGGTGAGTTAGGGAATCTATCCCAAACTCCACAGAGCAGGTAGTATGAAGCATGTAAAAAGGGAGCCAGAGATTGGGTTCCTATCAGGTGACCAAAAGTGGCCCTGGGGAAACCGTCACAGGCTGCAGAAGTGTGAGCCATAGCTGTTGGGAAGGCAGTCATCTTTAGTAATGTCACTTGACATGAGCTAAATGACCAATTTCACAGTCAGGGTTCAAGGTGAGACCCCAGAGGCTGCTTCCAGGACCCTCTTCAGAGACTCATGTTAAAGCCAACTCACCCACCCCACCCCACCCCACCCCACCTCAGAGTGAGCTCAGCCAGTACTTGAAGGCAGTGAGAAATGGGGAGACCAGCTGCCAGGCTCAAACCCAGAATCCCAGGTCAGCCCAGATAAGCTCCACCCACGTGCAGTTGTCTCTATGCCCACTTGGGGGCAGGCCTGGCCAAGGGGAGGGGACAGGGGAGCCACACATCCAAGAGCGGGCAGGTGTGCCAGGTGAAGAGGAAGAGCCATTTTGTAGACAATAAATTGTGACTAAAACCATTCTTCAGCCTAGGCAGTGACACTTTTCGGGGACAGGTAGCCCCATGTTCTTCCACAGCCAGATCTCTTCCCAACTTCTCTCCAATACCGTGTCCCCAATTCCACTGATCAAGCAAAGTTCAGGAAAGCTGGGTTTGAATTGACTTTATTATTCTGTAAATGTGAACTTTACAAAGCACTTTACAATTAATGATGACATCCTTTTGTCATGGATTTCCACTTCTGAAACAGCTCTGAGCACAGGCTCACAGCTCGCGGGTTTCCCTGGTCAGCTTGCAGACATTGCTGTTTTTTTTTTTTTAATTTGTTGTTGTTGTTATTAATACAATGTTTTCAGCCATGGCTACAAAGTAACAGTCTTGTCACTACAGGGTCACAGCACTGATAGAGGAGGACTCTGGAGGGACAAAAAAAAAACAAAAACAAAACAAAACAAAAACAACAAAAAACAAAGCCTCCTCCTCCCTAAAACGAAAGAAAGCCAAGATGTGGTGTTTGCTCTAGCTCAGCGGTTCTGTGAAGGCCTCCTTAGAGGTAGGGGAGCAACTGACTTTATTAACTTATTTTCTAACAGTCATGAGTTATGATGTGACTTTAACCCCTGGACAGTGCCTTCAAAACAACCCTCTTCCTCGGGTCCTTTTCTCCAAACATCCCACTTAAGGGATAAATAAATGTTCTTCTTGTACCCAGAGCCACACAAAATGTTCAAGTCAAAAATATTTATACATTTTATACTGAGTTCTCTTTTTGTCTGCTAAAAATAGTATTGCAAATTTTGGCTTCTTTTGACATAAAAATCACAATTGTGTGCAAAATGCTTGCAATGAGGCGACTGGTGGGACACAAGCAGAGGCTACTGAATCAGAATGGTTTAGATCCTGCATCCTTTTCCTTTTCTAGGAAAACAAAACAAAGCAAACACCTTTGCTGCTTTTGAAACACTTTGTAGTGAGCCCTTCTTCTAGCAGCACAGGCTGGGCTGCCTGACATGCAGAACCACACGGCAGCAGCACCATTCCAAGCAGTGGGTAAAGCTGAGATGTCACATGCTTGTCGCCATTCCAATTTGGGATCCACAACAAGCAGATTCTAACAGGGTCTTTCGAGTTTTCAGCTGGCTGATGGGCCATCTGCCCTTCCCCCATCAGCTAAGAATCAACATCTTAGGGAACCCAAGCAAGGAACAGTGGGGCAGAGCAAGACTTGGATAACACTGGGCTTAGGAAGTTCCTGCTGTTGAACCAGGTAGCACCAGGCACGCCACAGTCCCTTAGAGGAGACTGGCCCTGTCAGCTTGCCAGCCCTCACTGCCACTTTCTTCTGCCTTCCTTTAGGTTCTAAATAAACACCACATAGCTAGTTTTCCTAGGCAGTCACAGAAGGACTCCTCAGAGTCTCTCCTCAATTGCCTTTCACACACCGCTGGCTTCATCCACATTCAAGGGCAAAGTAAGACACCAAGTCAGATGTTAGCTGAAGCAACTGGTATAGAAAACAATACAGAATTCAAGTACTGAGACAGCCGGGCAGACAGGCAGCCCCTCCAAGCTCACTATCATCCCTGTCTCTGGTCCCTCGCCCTGGACCTGCTATATTCGTCTCAGCAGACTATTGTCTGCTCTGGGAGGACAGAAGAGTAATGGCTGGATCCAGCCTTGCCCCAGCAGCTCCAACCCGATTCAGTCCCGACTGTCCTCATGGCAAAGATGCTGATGTAGCAATAGTTTCTACAATAGACTCTACATAGTATGTGCATATTGCTAGTAGTCAAGCTAGGAACAGAGGTGTAGACATTTGACAAATGCTGAGAGGCTCTCACCTATAAGGTCTGGACGAGTCAGGGTCACATAACAGGACAAGACAACCCCGATTCTGGAATTAGTCATCTTGTAAACAAAGGAGGGGGTCTGTTTTTTTTTTAATTGGTTTTCCTTGGAAAAAATAATCAAAAGATGCTAAGGCACTCTGGAAGGCCCCTCGGAGCCCAGGCCTGCCACCCGCCTGCCTCGCAGTACATTCAGGATGCAGAGGGAGCGCCTCCCCCCAAGCAGGTACAGTCATTGGCCATGCATGTCTGCAAACGCTCCCCACCACGTCCACCATGGGACACATTAGTGCAAAACGCTCTGCCTGGCCCACCCGGGGCACAGAGAGAGCTCAGAATCCATTCACATTTAATATTATTGAAGTTTTACCTATAGCTCTTGCCTTCCTTACCCAGAACAAAACAGATGGCAATTATAAACACTAAGGGACATAGGTTGAGGACATTGTGCTAGCCCAAGCAGTGGTCAGGCATTCTGTGAGGCCACTGTCTCCTGAAATGGCCAGCACTACCTTCCCTATGCTAGCCCAGGGTGGGGACCATGCCCATCTTGGAGTGGAAGGATGAGAAAGAGCCCTTCTACCACCAACCAAAACAGGTGGCTTTGTCTCCCAGAGGTCCCCAAGGATGGTCAAATTAAAGTGCAAATTTGGGTGGGGGAAGCAGATGAAGGGATATTCCAGAGGGGAAGGGCACAGCCCTGCCCCCAATCCTGTCATACCCTCTACAGTTCTATGGTCTTCACCCAGCACCAGGAGGGTTTGGTCCAAGTCACTAAAGGGCTGGCTAGGGTTCCACCCTACCTAGGACTAAGATGGAAATGGGAGAGGTGAGAGGTTCATCTCTGGGCAGCTAGTTCCAGAGCTGGGCATTAGCTAGCCTCTGAACTGGCCCTAGGAATGCAAGCCTTGGGTTACCAAGGAGCAGGGGGAGGGGCTGAGCTCAGTTCCCACAGCTCCTGCCACGATGCCCCTTCCCTTTCCCATACCACAGGTCTTTCAGAAGAGGGGAGGGGGAAGATATGATATATACATGTTTTGACATGTATAGTCAGCAGAGTATGGGTTCTACCTGTGAGGCCCCCAAGACAGGGAAGTGCCTGAAAAATAAAAGAAGGTGATACAGACGGAGTCTAAACTACACCTCAGGTCTCCTACCCTCCAAATGGGGAAAAGATTGCTCAGCCTGTGGGCACACAGGAGGGGTTCATAGGGCAGCAAACTCAAGATACACAGGATAGGGATTAGACCTCTCAAGTTTGTTATGGTGAGTGTCCTTGGGCACCTCAGTGGCTGCTAGGTTTTGCAGGTAGGCAGGCAGTCCTCAGACAAGAGTCCAAGAGGAGACACTTGGGTAAGTGGTCTCAGGAGCATATCCCACACTTCAAAATGATAAAGCGACAGCTTTGAGCCCGCCAGCTGTCCTCAACGGTCCCCTGAAGGTGCCATCCTCATGATACTCTAAGTTTCTGGTCCCCAGTGAGATCCACACCTGCTAACTTCCCTGGCCCAGGCTTGTAGGGCCTGTACCTGCCACCAATTACACAGGGTACCCACAGTGAGCGATGGGACCATCCCAGGCAGCAGTGCCCTGCTAGCCAGGCCCACAGGGGCCTAGCTTGGCTGTACACAGCTCTTCTTTCCTGAGCCCCCTCTGCCTCCAATGGGAGGCCAAGGTGGGAGTTATGGGCATGTTTTCAGCCCAATCCGCAGCAGGCTGGGGACAGGGCCACTAGTCTCTCACTTTTTTTTCTCTTTTTCTTTTTTCTTTTTTTTTTTTTTTCCTCTGTTCGGTCTGAAAGTTTCCAAACCACAAACAAAATATGTCTGAACTAAACAAAAACAGCAAACAAGCAAAATCCCAGAGTGGCTGGAGAGGCAGAGGGTGGTGAGGGCAGCCATGGCCAGGGGCAGAGAGACCCTGGGGGGTCAGCAGGCCAGCCGCTGGGGGTCTGGGTAGAGCAGAGTGAGGATGCAGGTATGGAGAGGGGAACACCTCATGTTTCCCCCACCCCCAGGTGACCACCCATAGCTACTGCAGGGCCATCACTGGTCTTCCTGCTTTCTCTTTCTCTCTCTCTCTCTCTCTCTCTCTCTCTCTCTCTCTCTCTCTCTCTCTCTCTCTCTCTCTCTCTCCACACACACACACACACACACACACACACACACACACACACAAGCGGCTTCCTGGGAGGAATGAAAACAAGAGAAGCCTGGCCTCTGGGGTCCCAGCACTCCCCCCACTATCCCAGTGGGGTTCATATGGGTAAGAATGGAGTGTTGTGTTTGCCCCTCCAGCCCAGGCCACTGCTGCCCCAGCTTCTGCTTTCAGAGCAGGAGGAATAGGAAAGGCGGATGAGGCAGGGTCAGGGCAGGACATCAGGGACCTGGTGGCCTCTTCTACCTCCCCAAGAAGGGAAAGAGAGTACTACCATGGGAGACTGAGCTGGGGAATATCAAAAAGTTGCCCTGGGACCTTTGTCCCTCAGAGCGTGGCCAGCGGCCTAAATGTTTACAGTATAATGAATGCATTTGTTTCCTTCATCCATTTTAAATACAGGCAGAATAAAAATCACATTTTTGTCAGGCAGCAGTAGCAGTTCAGTAGGTAAGTGGCTTGATCACATTTGTTTGTATTAGTAATGCATGCAAGCAGCTTTAGTACTCGGTCCCTTGTGAGTCGGCCTTGCCGGCCACTTACAAAGACCCTGCATAGGTGCCCTCTGGCCTTCTTGTTGCTGTGGCCACTGGTGTCTGAGGCCTGCTGGAGCTGGTGTTGCCCTGCTCAAAGGCCTGAGGAGAGCTCTGGCCATCAGCAGGCAGCTGCTCGGGGGCAGCCACCTCCTGGATAACGGAGCCAGCCCCATCCACCTCCTCATTAGCCTCAAAGGCAGGGTTGGCCGAAGTGCTCAGATCAGCATTCACAGCATCAGTTCTCAGAGCCACGATGGTGGCGGCATCGCCCCGTCGCTCGGCATAGATGCGCTGCTCAAACACCTGTGAGGCAGCAGGCGGGAACTCGGGGTCCAGGGGCAGGCTGGCGGCCGACGCGCCCATGACACTGCGGTACATCTCCACGCCCTCTGGCAGCATGGACTTGATCTTGGGCAGCCAGCGCTTGCGGACTCGGCGAGCATTGGTGCACATGTCTGCGGCGATCACGTTCATCTCGCTCTCTTTGAAGCTGGGAGCGAAGTTCTGGCAGTACACTGCGGAGGAGAGGAGAGGAAGAGCAGTGAGAGCGGCTTCTCCCACCCACGGCTGCCTCAGGGTCCACAGAACAAGGGGCCAAGGGCTGCAGGGTCTGCGAGCTTGATTCCCACCAGGATCTGGGCTGTCAATCAGTTTTTCTTTCCTCCACTCAGGAGGTGCACATGACTCTTTGGGACGGTGTCTACGACAGTAAGGTAAGTTTGCTTGGGTGCCCACCAGGTTTGGACCTGTGTCTAATCTTCCCAGCTCCCCTTGAAAAATGAGACAGGTCAGGTCCAACCCACATGATCAGTTGGCTCACCAACACTTGGTTTCAGACAGGGCAGACAAAAAGGAGTGTGGATGTCCTCATCAATGTAAAAAAAAACAAAAGCCTCTTCTGTTTCCTAAGGAGCTGGAGACCAAAGTCAGGCCTAGGTCCCCACAAGCATCAACCAGGAACAGGTCCCTAAGAGCCCAGCTTCCCCACCTTCTGGTATCTCTGGGTTACTTCATTCCCCAGGACTGTAATTACCCTCTTCTAAAAAATAGAATTAGTCTCACAAAGGGAATTTCTAAGTAAGACAATAAGATGTTGCTTGGGCCAGTGGCCCCAGGCAGCTCTGGGCCAGTCTCTGTGTGTGCTGGGTGGCATAGATGCTTCTGTATCTGAGGGTACAGGGCTAGGCGGTGACTTGCCATAGAGATGGACTGGGCTCCGCCCCACCACGCAGGAGCGGGAGGCAGAAGCCGGCCGAACAGATGGCAAAGGCTCAAAATAACCTCAACATGTAAATAAGGGGTTTTGTTCAAAAAGGAAAATTAGATCTATTTCACATATTAAAATAGTTTCGCAGCTGAATTCATCACACTTGGAAACCTACCAAGGACGTTAACACCTCGAGATGAGTTCTACTTGCTGCTCTTTTCTCTTTCCTGGTCCCGGTGCTACAGGCCAAAGCAAGCATGCAGGACAAGAGCCCAGGGCCCAAAATGACTCTGGGGTCTTAATCTGCCTCAGGTTGAGATCTCAAGTCCAGATGGGATTCCTAGAGTTTCCCAGACCCACCCTACCGGAGTGACCACCCCACCGGGGTGACACCCCACCAGAGTGATCCTTCACCGCCCACTCACGTTTCACGGCATTCAGGACTCGGCTGTCCAGTGGCTTTCGGCTCGGGTCACTGGTAGAGGAGCGAATGCCAGTGCCACAGCTGTTGGCCAGTGTGTTTCTGGAGGATGAGGAAAGGAGGCAGAGTTGGTCCAGAAGTGACTCAAGAAACAGAGCTCCCTGTTCACATGACAGGTGAAAAAGCCCAAATTCCCACACCCACCTGTGTCTTCCCTGAACAAGTATGTATGTCTCCTGAGTCACATACAACATTAGAGGAAGGACCAGTCTTCCTCTAAGGAATAGAACTCCCAGTGAGTGGGCACCCTGAGTGATGAGGCTAGGAAGCTGACTAACCCAGGCACTATCCATGGGAAATCCTGAGTCATCTGAGTGACTTGCTTTTCCTTGGGGAAGGCGCCCTTCTGACCCATGCACATGGTAAAGTACACATAGCTTTTCACTTTCTTTGGGGAGGGGTACACAGCCAGTATTTCTCCAGGCTGGGCCCTAGCATATGAGGATCTTTCTGGAGCCTTTCTAAGGCATCTCCACGTCAGACACCCACATTTGTGTTAGGAAAAGGTGGAAGGCTGTAAAAGCTCAAACCTTTCATGACCAAGACAACGCACATAGCTAGATGAAATTCTAGAAGCTTCTGCAGCCCCCTAAACACCTACCTGTCAAAGAAGGTGGCCAGGAGCCTCCGCAGAAGGACCTTGTGCTTTACTCCTGCACACAGGTGGCAGTTCATGAGCTGGCCACGTGTGATGTAGACCCCGGAGCCTAAAGTCAGCAAACATCAATGTATGAGGTCTTTAGCCTTATAAAATAAACCAGGGCTCATGTCCTCTAAGGGGGATGCTAAGGCCAAGAAAGGCTACAGAGGAGTCTAAGGAGGGGTGGGAGGTGAAGAGAGGCCTTTAGGACAAAAGCAATCTCAGTTCTCACCTGTTGGAATACACCAGGGCTGGAGAATGCCAAGGCCAAAACTTTCCCTGTCATAACTCCCATCCTCAACTGAAAGCCACCAGGCTTGGGGAAAGATGTGGCAAACCCCATTCCTTCAGTTTCTCCTAATCCCCAGATTCCTTTCTTGTGCTAAGGCCTGTGGGCAGGATTAGACTACTCTGGCCTTCACCACTTCCTCAGGAACTTTCTGGGGCTAGTTTTGGCTTTGGCTTTCTACCTTGTCCTTTCCCAGACACCAAAGAGCCATGGGCAGAAGTTGGGAGAAATGGACAGCAGTCTGGAGAATCCAGCTGAGGCTTCCACTGGCCCAGCACTGCCTCCTCTACCTCATGTGTTCAAGGAAGTCTAGTGCAGGTGTGAGTAGGGAAGTCATTCTCAGCCATAGACCCTGAAGAGAGCCACCACTGACCCAGAAGCCCCTGTAAAGTGTAGACGAGCAGAGGATAGAACCTATGGAGACGAGAGCGGCAGGATCAGGGAGGCCACTGTTTACAAGGTGCTGCTACAGGAGAAGAACCTGTCACTGACTGGGGGAAGCACGGGTGGAACAGTGAGCGGTGTGCCCAGACTGTGGCTCTGACTATGCACTCCCACTTACGCGGGCCTCCTTCATCTGATTCCTTTGTTTTTCAAGACAGAGGTTCCTCTATGTAGCCCTGGCCATCCTGGGCTAGCTCTGTAGACCAGGCTGGCTTCAAACTCAGAAATCCATCTACCTACCTACCTTTGCCTCCTTAGTTGGAATTAAAGGCGTGTGTCACCACCACCTGGTTGTTTCTGACAGAGCATGGGCTCTTTTTGTTTCAAGACAAACTTTTACTATAGAGTCTAAGCTTGCCTTTAGTTTTCAATTCCCCTGCCTCAGCCTCCCAGACATTTGATTACAGGTATGCACACCACTCCTGGTTCTTGGATCTTCCCTTCAGTCCTGTCTGTTAGGTTTTAGCAGAAGGAAGAGACTAGTGAGGATAGGAACCCGCTCCTGCCTGAAGAATACTTCTGCCTCTTAAGACATCACAGCAGTCAGAAAACTGTCTCTAGTAGCATCCAGAGATTCTATTCTGCCCTAGGTCTTGGATGGAGCAGCCCTACTCCATACCACCCTGGAAGCTACACTCCTGCTACCTACTGAAGAGCTGGTTAATAATGAAGTCTCTAAGGCAGTGGATTCCAGGAAAGAAGGAAAACTGGACAGAATCTGGAGTTTCTGTTCTGTTAGCCTCAATATGCTACCCAGGATGTGCCAGTAGGGGGTGGTATCAAGACAGACGCAGAAGAAGGTGGTTCAGGGAGGCAGAGCTAAGGTGCAGGGCTGAGGAACCTGTCCAGCTTGCTTGGGGCTTCCCAAGCAAAAAAAAAGGAGCAATTAAAGCCCAGGCATGTGGCCCCTACCTTTAATCCAATCACAGGAGACAGAGACAAGGGGATTTTTGTGAGTTAGAGGCCAGCCTGGTCTACATATCAAGTTCCAAGAAACCCAGGGCTATAGAGAGAGATTTCTCTCAAAGAGGCAGTTAAAGGAAACTGTGGGGTCCAATGGGGCACCGCCTACTTGGCTCTTGCTGAACACTGCCTTACAAAATGCAAGCATCCCAACACTAAAGAGATGATGTTTCTAAAAAGGTACCGGCCCTAAGGGCTTCCAGACTCCACCTTGCACTGCAAGCTACCGTTCAGACACTATGACTGAACACTGGGGCAGGAGAGGCACTGTAACTATGTGACTTGGTTCTATCTGTGACCTAAATTAAAATACATCATGGATATGGCCCCTGCCAATCAGAAGCTTGGCCAGTTCGGGGGACTCAATTAAAATGCTAAATTAATTCAATCGAATAACTCCTCTTAATGACACATTCTTCTAAAAGGAAATTAGAGGAAATTTAAGATGTTCTTTTTTTCTTTCTTTCTTTCTTTTTGACTGATGGGTGTATTGTTCATAGCTCTGAAAAATAGTGGATAGCACATTTGCATACAGTGATGGGTGGGGCCACCTCACCTGCTACAAGCTCCAGTTTCTCTCCAGGATCTCCCTCCGAGTAGAGCTTTGGGTGGCAGCGGTACCCAATTTGACTGATGAGGCTGGCAGGAAGTGCCACCAGGTCTCGACGGATGAGGACACAGGAGCGGCTCTCCAGGGGCACTGGCTCTGGTTTCTCTTGCACTAAGGCAAAAAACTAACCCAATTAGGTTGGAGTCTGTGGGTGAACCTGGGCTGTACTGAGCCTGTCCACTACATTCCCCAAGGCCCAGGTCAGAAGCATTCCATATCAGCCTGGACCCATGGCAACCAGCCCTCTACACTATACGTGCATTGTGTCCACCTCCCCACACCCAGCACTGTCCTGGAAAGACACCTGATAGCATGAAGAAGAAGAGAGTTATGAGGAATGCCTGCCTATACCCGGTAACAGGCTACTTGGGGTGAGTGGTGTTTCCCAGAGGTGTAAGACAACAGGTTATGGGTTAGGTGGGAAGGAGAGAGCTGATGGGGAGGCCAGAGGGTATGTGCTGGAAACAGGATATAGGACAGCCTGACCAGAGACCTCGAAGCTGCAGGTGGAGCTTAAACTCAGCAGCCTGCACCTTTCAGAGTGTGAAGCTGCCAGCTTTGCTGTCAGGAAAATGCACTGAAGGAGACAGCCAGTGAAACAGAACAGGGCCCAAGTTGGGACCTGGGCTTCCTCAAAGTGGCTTCATGCAAGAGGTAACCAGATATGACTAGTTCTACTTAGCAGATGAGGGCATAGGTGTCTTAGCACATTGCAGGACATGTCCCCTTGGACGATTTTGGCCCGGCACAAGAAGTGCTCTTAAATTTTTGTCAGGAGTAAAGCCAGGCAGTCTGGCATCCCTGCTGTCTGCAAATGTTCTGGAAAACCACTTCTAGAACAGGCAGTTGGGCCTTAGAGTTCCTCTGTTCCTGTAGCTCTTAGGCTGCATCAGTGGCACCTGCCCACAGAGGCAGCCATAGATATGAGTGTGCTCCACAGAGTGCAGGATGCCAGCTAGCCAGCATCAATAGCAAACAGGCAAGATGAACAGTCTCCTACAAGTCACAGAGGGCCTGGGCCAAGACTCCTTAATAAAGACTACTTGTTGGGCACCATATACGATACAAGACCAAGGACGACCTGTGGTGCTAACCAGTCCTGCACAGCCTTGGTCCCTCTACTCTTCCACTGCCCTTCCAGTCCCTTTTCCCAGGAGGCCTTGCAGTTGGACTAGGCTTTCAACTAGTCCTTGGTCCATGCTCCCACAGGCCACAGAGACTAGAGTAACATATAGAGCCACTCTGCTCAGAGACCTCAGGTGTCACATCATTCCTTCCTGTGTTCCTAGCTGTGTGTGTGTCTATGTATCTGCGTGCCTATGCATGTGTTTGTGTGTGTGTGCCCTATGTATGTTTATACATTTGTGTATCTGAATGTCTGTACATATGAATATACGTGTCTGTATGTGTTTGTATCTGGGCCTGTGTTTCTGTGTGTGTCTTGTGGTGCACGTAGGACTTAGCCCTAAGACAGCTAGAACCTGTTAGCCTCACAGGCTTAGAGCCTGTTAGGCTCAAGGCAGGTGTCTCCGCCTTAGATCTTGCCCTGAGACAGCTCCAAGGTCAGACACAAGTGCACTTGGTTGCTACAGCAAGGCCAGCTTCTGGCCCCTTCTCACAATGACCACACACTAGGGACTCTCAGCCCTTCTCAGCAGGGGGCCACTGTGCAGGGGCCCCTTAAGGGCAGGTGGCAAGCGAGGGTCCTGCACAGGAAGGACTTGCAAGTCATCTTGACACCCTGACATTAAGGGAGATGTTGGGGTGCCCATCCCCAAGGACTGATATCTGGGTTTTGAAATGACCACCCATACCCTAAGAAACAGTGAATCACTATAGGAGGACACAGGAGGGTTTCAGCCCAGAAGACAGGGTGGAAAGCTCAGCTCTGCCCAGTGTCTGGAGTCACAGCAGGGTGCCTCAGGCCCACTACTTTTTGATGCAGTCCAAATAAACATAACTCTGTGGTGTTATGTGGAAGTCCTAGAGTACTGCTAGACATCCAATGAGGACAGAAGCTAGAAAAACGGAAGCTGCTGAGATGCTGCTATCCCTGGTACCAACTGGTGGTCAGACTAGCCAGGTGGCATTCCCATCCAACAGAGCAATGAAGAATCTTTATAGCCTGGAATTACCCAGAGACTGAGGGAACACATCAAACAATCCGGATGGTATTTTAAAACATAATTATCCGCCCCCCCTTGCCCCGCCTGCTGTGATTACACATGCAAACGAGCAGCGCCAACGCTGTGCGCTGTGCGTGGCATTTACATAAAGAGTGTTCACCAACAGAAATAATTCTCCATCCGCAGCCAGCACTCTCTCGAGATGTTTTTCTCAACAGCAGAAGTTGTTTGTGCTCCACATGCACACCCCTCCCCAGCCCGGCTCCCCAAGAGCCAGAGACTGTCAGCCCAGAGCCCCAAAAAACCTCTTCTATTTCTGCCCTGCCAAGTGCTGGATGTTACGGCTGCTAAAAATACACCAATCTGAGTCTTAGCTCATCTGCAAAGGTGCTCGGAGCTCCTTCCCCAAGTCCGTACTTCACAGGTCTGAGTGGCTTCAGTCACCACCCAGGCTACAGGGTGGTGTTATATCAAACTCTAGAGAATCACTCCCAGAGGACATTCACACACAGAGAGACACACAGACACACAAACACACACAGACACACACACACACCCCACCCGCAGTGAACCTCGGTGGGTCCTGCTAGTGTCAGGGTCTGTACTTGGTTCCAGGTATGCTGGAAGTCTGTCTGTCCCTGTGCCGTCTCCTGCCTCCCCCAAGAGGACTGTGAGCTGAGGAGAGATCCTGTGATCACATGAGGTTTCAGTACCAGGAGACTTAGGCCTCCTATCATCCAGGACTGGTCTCAGTGGTATCAATGTCACTTCCACATTCCCCAGGCCATGACAAGGACTGAGCATCCTAGGGAGAGAGCATGTGAGGCATGGTTAACTATTTCTGTGAAGAGCTGACTAATCACTGGCTGAAGTGAAGTCACTTCCTAGTCCTGGCAGAAAGTTCTGTTATAGGGGCACCCCTAGACATGCAGGCATTGATCCCCTCTCCAGGATCAGTGACCTATCTTCCTTGAGTTACACCATGGAAGCTAACTGGATACTTGTGGTCACATGATATTGTGGGTTACATTCCAGGGCTCTTAACATGGTCACCCAGGAAGGCAGCTAAGCCAGGTGTCTAACCCCAGGGATCCAAGAAGCAAACTGTGGATATTGAGTAGGGAATCTGTCAGTTTGGGAAGATCTCAAGAAGCTCTATGATTAGGAGAATAGTGATGGCTGAACAGGGTGAAGATGCTTAATATCACTGAAAATGACTGCAAAATATCACATTTAAAAGGAGGAGGAGGCTGGACATGGTGGCTCAGGCCTGTAACCCTAGCACTTGGCAGAGGCAGGAAGATCAGGAACTCAAGGTCATCCTCAGCTAAATAGCAAATTAAGGTCAGCTTCATGAGGCCCTTTGTTTAGAAAAAGAAAAAAGAAGCAGAAAAAAAAATAAGTACTTTGGATGTAGTTTAGTGGTAGAGCATGTTTAGCTGGAGTAAGGCCCTGGGTGCCCTTGCCAGCACCAGAAGAAGATGGATGAGAGTAGGAGGCAGGGAAGGGCAGATGGATCCCATTGCCTGTTTTCTTCCCACAGGATCTGCCCCAGGAGGGTACCCAACAGGAGCTTCCCTCTCCCCAGCCTCTCCTACCCTGTTCCACAAATGTCCTAGGGATTCACACTCAGAAGCAGCATGACAACCCCACTTTGAAACCCCATCAGGAAACCAAGCTGATGCAAATGGCTGCCAGTAGGTAGGTGGCCACTCAGGTTGGCGCTTCACAGAGGCCTAGCTACTTCACAAACTAGATGTACAAATGACCCCTCCAAAATTCAGAATTAGAAAATAAACCTTAGTCTTAACTATGAGTGGTATAAGCTGCTGACTCACACTGTGGAAGACTCCCTGCACCTATACTGCCAAGTCACCATGCACAAGGCACAGTCAGACCAGCCGCTTGTCACAGAGTCCCACAGACCATGCGCCAGTCAGCCAGTCAGCAGAACAAGTACAGTCACCCCAAAGCAAAGCCAGGGCCACTCTCAATTGGAAGCAAAATATAGGAAAACCCTGTTCTTGGGTTAGGCTAAGAGTTTTAACATGATTCCCACAGTACAAATCATTTTTTTGTTTGTTTGTTTGTTTTTTGTTTTGTTTTGTTTTGTTTGAGACAGGGTTTCTCTGTGTCCTGACTGTCCTGGAACTCACTCTGTAGACCAGGCTGGCCTCGAACTCAGAAATCTGCCTGCCTCTGTCTCCCAAGTGCTGGGATTAAAGGCATGCGCCACCACTGCCAGGCCACAGTACAAATCCTTAAAAGAAGCAGAAATGTGAGGTCTTCAGAATAAAAACAAAACGAAACAAACAAAACCAAAATTTGTGTGAAAGAGTAACAAAACAGGGTGGCTAAGGAAAACTCTCAAAACTCAACACTTAGAAACAAAAATAAAAAAAAGCCAGGTGAGTAGGCAGAGGCAGGTGGATTTCTGAGTTCAAGGCCAGCCTGGTCTACAGAATACAAGTTCCAGGATAGCCAGAGCTCACAGAGAAAACAACAACAAACCCCAAGGGCTGGAGAGATGGCTCAGTGGTTAAGAGCACTGGCTGTTCTTCCAGAGGTCCTGAGTTCAATCCCCAGCACCCACATGGAGGCTCACAACCGACTATAACCATAATTCCATGAATTCCAATATCTCCTTCTGGTGTGCAGATGTCCATGCAGACAAAGGTACCCATATAGTACCCATATTCATAGATAAATAAATCTTTAAAAACAAAACAATCAGGCAGACATGTAGAAGTTTCAAAAATGGGCAGACATGTAGAAGGATTTACGAAAGAGAACCTGCACATTGAAATCCCAATGGAAGCCAGGCAGTGGTGGCACACGCCTTTAATCCCAGCACTTGGGGGCAGAGGCAGGTGGATTTCTGAGTTCGAGGCCAGCCTGGTCTACAGAGTGAGTTCCAGGACAGCCAGGGCTACACAGAGAAACCCTGTCTCAAAAAAACAAAACAAAACAAAAGAAATCACAATG